ATAAGACCGGTTAGACAGGAAATATATGATTTGCATAGGACCACCAACTGAGCTTTGTGGCTGGGCATGGATTTGAACTTGGGTTTCCTCAGCCTGAGTCCCAAAATATTTATGCTGGGCTACACTACCTTGGAGACTATTAGTGCACTGTCTGTGTGGTGTGGCTCCACGATTCCCCTAGCAGGATGCCATGCTGCTGTGATAACATTTAAACCCAGATTCAGGTAGGTAGTCATGTTGGTCTGACGCAGTTGAAATAAATAATTTTTTGTAAAAAAATGTCCAGTAGCACCTTAGAAACCAACTAAGTTTCTTCTGGGTATAAGCTTTCATGTGCATGCGCACTTCTTCAGATACGATCTGAAAAATTGTGCATGCACACGAAAGCTTATATAGTACCCAGAACAAACTTAGTTGGTCTCTCAGGTGCTACTGGACAATTCTTTTAAAATTTTTATTTATTTAAACCCAGAAATCACCATATGGGGCAAAGGACCATGGTGGATGTTGCTGTCCTACTACCGTGCCTTCTGGAGTGTGCAGGGCTGGTTGAGGAGCTTCCCACCATGCCACAGAACACTTTCCCCCAAGCTGGTGTCCTCCTTATATCTGGAACTACAGCTCTCATCAGCCCCAGCCACCATAGTCTTCAGTGGGAGTTGTGGTCCAAAACATCTGGAGGGCAGCATGTTGGTGAAGGCTGTGTATGAACTGGCTGTGAGCTGTGGTGATCCAGGAATATTTTCTTTATCTCCCCGCAATATGACTGCATGTGTCTCTTCTTCCACATTTCTCTGGACTGCCACAAATTGGGAAATGATATTGGGTTGCTGCCAGTCATTTTGGGATGTAGTGCTGAATGGGTTTTGCTTACTTAGAAATCCTGAGTGGTGGCGGTGGTGTTTTGACCTTCCCCCTTCAGGATAAAAGAGGCACTTGACATGTACACAGAGGAGATCTCGTGATTCCATGCATTCCGAGGCTCCACAGGTCCCTCAGGATCTTTTGTGTGCTGCAAAACCCCAAAGTGGCCAAGAGGACTGTGAAAACGGGGTAACAGCTGCCCCTGTGCAGCAAGGAAGCCACAGGTCTGAGCCTGGTTCTCCTGCAAGAACTGGGTCTTGCTCCTTCATTTCCTTACAGACACAGTGGCTGGTAACTCATGTGATATCACTGTCACAGTGATGGCAAGGGTTCCACAAGTGCACTCGCTGAATTGCCTGTGATGACCACACCTGTTGGTCTGGTGAGTGCTGACCCCAGTGTAAAGTGGAGGGTTGGGGGCTCATCTCTGACTTCCTGCTTGACTTTGAAAGTCCTTGGAGAATTCTCACTGCTTTCATAAGTCCAAAGTGAGACACTGGCCCTCCCTGGGGTGGAGGCATAGGTAGAGGTGGAGGTAACTGTTGGCTGGTCACTAAGCCCAGCCAGAATTTGTGTGCCCATGAAAAAGGACAATTTTCTAGTAGATGCTAAATGTCCTAGATTTGTTTCCCTTCCTCAAGCCCTCCTGTAGATTGCACTAGTGTTGGGAGGGCTGTCACCATTCTAAATTATGGCACGTATTTCATTCCCACAGATGTGTTGATCTTGTGAAATTGGCATCCTTCTCTCAGCCAGCTCTTGCCTGCTTACAAAGTGTTCCTTTGATTAAGGAGCGGCAATCCAGCTCGCCGTGGAAAGAGCTGAGCCCCACCCTCTTTCCCAGCGCTCGTCTCGTGCCTGAAGGTGTGCGCGTTCCATCAAGTGCAAAAAGCATTCGGCAGCCCACTCCCCTCTCCCTCTCTCTCTTTTATTGGAAACTGGGTCACTATGCCGTCACCGTTCCTCTGAGTGTTCTTCCAGCCGCCTGCATCGATGAAGATGGGGCTTGGCTCCCAGACAGAAAAAGAATATGGATCTGGGGACCGGTAGGGTCTGATGGAAGCCTTGCAGCATATGGGGCAAAGGCCCAGGGAGCATTTCATGCTCTCTCTCTAAACTGCTCCCTTTCTGCTCTGGAGGCAATTCCCTCTTCCACCCACTGCATTGTGTTGCCAGCAATCCTCTTTTGGCCCTCAAATGTTGTGAATTAAGCAGACCTCTTAGGTTTAGCTAGCAGAGAACCGAATGAAAATCGCCTTTTCGCTGCTTGCTTCAGATCCCTTTTCCTGCCTGCCCCACCTAGTCCTGCTTTTGGAGAGTTAGACGCATTGAGGATTAGTGGCACCCTGGCTTAGGAATTTCTAAGGGGGAATTGGCTGTGTCCAATGGGACTGGCAGCAAAATATCAGTCCCCTGCTCTTAAATGAATGTGGTGCAGGCATAGTACAAAGGTAACACTTAACCCTGGTTAACATACCAGGCATATCATGAAACCAGGGGCTCAGCCAGAGCCTGGATTTGAGGGCTTATGCCTGGCATTGGAACAGAGAGACAGAGTGGGTGTTGCTGGTATCTTATCTATCCAGCTTTAGCTGAGCCAGCAGATGCAGTTTAAGGTTTGAAGAACCAGGGATGATTTTTCTGGGGGACTTAAACATTCACACCAGGGTTACCTTGGTTCAGGGCTTCATGGCCACCATGGGTGAACCTTAATACATTACTGCTCTATTGCATTTGGTAGTGTGTGCGCTTGACCTGTGGTCTGCTATAGAACAGGTGTGGAGTGATCTGCTATTAAGAGGGGGTGTTCAATTCTTTTGCCATGGTCAGAACAGGGGAGGCTTGGCTTGACTTGGTGGCAGCACATTCTTCCTGCAGGACCATTATTATGGTCCACTTTTGGAGAATTAGATAATTAGAGGAATTATTGAATGCTTTGGGGGACATGACTGGTGGTCTTGCTGAGGCCCTGATAGCACTATGAAAAGATGAGATGGAGAGGGCCATCCATGAGATTGCTCTTAGTGCTGTAGAGCCTGTTAGGCTCTTTAATCTTCTGGGGAACTGTTAGCCAGTGAAGCAGGCTGGGCGATGGCTGGTGTGCAAGTTCTGCAAGTCACAGAGGAAAAATGATGAAATACAACTGAGAACAGGACATGGCTGTGCTTTCCATGTGGTAGTGAGGGCAGCAAGAAAATCTTATTTTGCTGCCTCATTTTGCATCCTTAAGGAGCTGTCCAGCAGAGTTGTAAAAATCCTATCCCAGGGAAGAGGGGGGTGGGCCCCTCTGTCTCTTGCTGTGACAAATTTGCAAAGCATTTTGAGGATAAAGTTGTTCCTGTCAGCTTGAAACGAAGGCATGGCTGGACCAACTTCTCTTTCCCATTTTAGAACCAGCTCTAGGAGTTGAAAATCATTGATTGGTATGTGGAATTAAGTAGACATTTCTGTAATTAGGGCTGATGTATTTAATTTTTTCAGGAGCTATAGATTTGGTGTGTTAAAGGGAATTTTGTTCCCGCCCCCCACTAAGATCATTGTGATAAAAGGTAGTTTATAAATATTTTAACTAAATAATATAATGAAATAGAAGCAAGACTAGCTTCAGTCAAGAGAACCTGGAGAGGTGAGGGAACTGCCATGACAGTCTCAGTTCAGGTATTATACAGAGTTAAAATACATCACATTTGCAAGCACACTTCAAGCTATGGAAGCCTGTATCCAGGTTTGTGACCAACTCTTGTGACCAACTCTCAGGTATTGAGATGTAACACTGAACCATTTTTAAGGTAAAACAAGCTATTTTTTTTTTAATTATTCTTGAAGGTGTTTTATTATTGAGTCTGCTGTTTTTACTACTGTATTCCAGTGATACTAGTGGTTTTTAATAGTGCTGTGTCTTTCTAGTGCTCTGTTTTACAGTTCTGTTAGTGTAAATTGCTTTGGAAACTAGTTTGAAAAGAGGGCTCTATAAATAACTTAAAGTAATAATAAACAGATAAGCCTGGGGTCCGCAAGGGCCATGGAAACATCAAGCAAAATTGGTTCTTTAGGTGAATCTAGCCACTTCTTTCAGTTTCCTAAGTACATCTAAAGCACCTCCATCCACACTGTGTCCACACTGGTTTGTATAAAGAATATGCACCACAGCAGCTGCACAATGGCACATTTCTCTCTCTCTAATCTGTCTGATTGCACAGAAATGCACAGCACAGTGGCTGCTTCTGTGAATCTGGAAGGGGGATGGGTGGGATGCTAAGCCATCTGCATTCATCATGGAGGAGGGGGAATACCCTGATTGGCAGGCAGTGGCTCAGTGGTGGACAAATGTTATCTGAACTGCTGGCTGGCACAGGGATGGCCTTCCTCATCACCCAACCAAGGAGAAAAGTCCTTTAAAAAATACTTGGGTAGATAAACATTTTAGGCCATAATGAAACATGCTAGCCTCATGAAGCTATGGCCAAGCTTTTGAACAAGATACATTTAATAATAACACAGTCTGACTCAATGAGACCACCCCTTCCAGATTCCTGGTGCTCATTGGCAGGGAGAGCAGTAGTAGGTGAAGCCAGAGCCAACGAATTCCAGTTTTGTCCCCATCTTCCTCCCTGTTGAGTTCTTCAAGGGGTGACCCTGAGACCCATGAGGAGGAAACTGACTGGCAGGTGGGGGCTGGACAAGGACAGATTGAGACTATTGAGCCAGTGCGTCATTCACCCTAATGCACTAGCCTCCACTGCTTCATCAAATATCTCCCTTTTCTGCCTGTTCCAGAACCACAAGCCAGCTCATGAGACAAAATAATATCCGTTAACAGACAGATGAAATGTAAAGCTTTTATACCAGTTAAAACAAAGATAAGATCAACCAATGAGCTGCAATTAAACCAGTCAGAAAGCTCAGCTCTCTCCTTTCTGCCCCTTCCTCAGCACCTAAGGTGAGGCCACTGGCTTACCTTGACATGCAGCAGGGCCATCGTGCCTTGACCATGCACTCTCACTCCAAAGTGCTTCCTTGCCATAGAAGCTGCCTTACATCAAGTCAGACCCTTGGTCCACCCAGCTCAGTATGGTCTACAATGATTGTCAGCTGCTCCACAGGCTTTCAGACTGGGGACATTTTCTAGTTCTACCTGGAGATGCCATGGGCCATTGAACCTGGGACCTTCTGCGGGCAAGGCAGTTGCTCTACCACTGTGCTAGAGCCCTCCTTCCCCCAGTAGTTTCATTGCATCTGACATGGTGCTCTGCCAAATGAAACGACTGCTTCAAGGCTGTGGTCTTCTCTTCCAGATCTCTGACATCTACATCAGTGGAGAGTCGGGAGACATGTCCGCCAAAGAAAAGCTCCTTCTATGGACGCAGAAGGTGACGGCGGGCTATGTGGGAGTGAAGTGCACCAACTTCTCATCCTGCTGGAGTGATGGAAAGATGTTCAATGCTATTATTCACAGATACAGGTACGTGTCTGTTTCCCCTGCCCAGCTAGGAGGGCAACCTGGAAAAATGGGAAAACTTCTAAAGCTAAAATGAAATCACGTGCAGATGCTAAATGCTCAAATTCTGCAGTTTGAGTCCCAAATACTGAGATTTCTTACTTTAAATTCTGAAATCTGATTTTGAATTCACTTAGAATGTGTTTATCTGTAGCAGAAGTTTCTGACAACAGCAGTCTGCAAATGTGGAATCACATTTTTTTTCCTGTCTCCTGCAGGCCAGATTTAGTGGATATGGAAAGAGTTCAGATTCAGAGCAGCCGAGATAATCTGGAACAGGCCTTCGAGATTGCAGAGCGGCTTGGGGTCACCAGGTTGCTGGATGCAGAAGGTGATGATGGGGCAAGTCAGCTGGGCAAATGCAGTGACTTTTGAGCAGTAGACATGGCATTCTGTTGATGCTTTACTATGCAACCTGGCTGCCTCTGAGTAAACTCCACATGCTGACCTGCTTCTTATGGTTTCATGGCCAGCCTAATGTTTACTCAGTTGATTCTGATACTTTTCTGAACGAATAAATATAAAGTTTGGAGTGCTGGTGGTGGGAAAGCTACCATTTTTTGCTGGTCAGTCTTGTAGTCAGCAGCCTCCTGTCCATCTCCTTCCAAGCCCCCATCCATCTTTTCCTTGGGAAGGGAGTATGCTGTACTGGGTGCTGCTAGCCAAAGGTGCCTGTGGTACTTTCACCCAACAGCATTCAAGATACAAGCACAATGCCCTATCAGAGGGAAGGGTTGGCAGGAAACAGAGTATTTTCCCACTCTGGAGCGTGAAATGTTGGTGAGCAGGTGTGGAGTTGCTAGATTGGTTTCTCCTTGGTTGCACAGCGGTCAAACAACCCCCAGCTCTCCTCCCAAATTTGAGCCAGGGAGGTGGCAAGGAATGCTGCACACCCACCAGGTGATCCTCACTCACCTCTGCAACTTCAATGTTGTCAGGTGTAAGGCCTGTTGCTGATCATGCTTGCCAGTGAGCCATGCTTGCCAGTTACCCTTGCCATGGCAAGGAGAATGGTTGAAACTTGTTTAGGATAGGGCACAAGCGTTGTTTAGTACTGTTCTGTGTATGTTGTGCTTTTAAGGAGTTGCATAAGTAGAAGGACAGGTAGCTGCCTGCAGAGGAGCTCACAGCCTAATTTTTTTACAGTGGAGTGAAGGTAAGAAATGGAGGGAGGAGGAGGCACAGGAACAGCAGAGAGGATCGAATTATGTAGGACCTCTAGAAACACTGTTCGGCATCTATTTATTTTACTGATTTGAATAAATAAATAGATTTGCACTGATTAATCAAGTAAGGCTTCTGCTTAAGATTCATGTCAGATCTGAAGCTTTCTCTTAGAGTTGATTTAAACATTCAGCAGAATTTCATGCTGCTGCTTTCCTTGGGTTGCGTGTTTATCTGCTCCACTCTCTGTGTATGCAGGATGTGTGTTTGTGTGTGTGTGGTTTATGCAAAAATGTATACGCTCCTTTTTGCTTCAAAAAGGGCTGCTCAAAGTGGCTTACAGAATATAAAAACAAGCATAGAAATGATTAAAGCACATTTAGCAGACTAAAGGCAGCATCAAAGAGGAAAAGCACAGAGCCAAAACTAAAAATAAATAAATTTAAATTAGGCTCCCTTCATTCAGAAAATCAGAGTGCCAGGGAAGAAGAATTCTAGGCTAGCTTGTTATCATTGTGCAAGGAGTATTCTCTCCTCCACAGTAGAGCTTTGAAACCTTTAATCACACACATATGTGAATATTGAAGTTGTACAGTCCAGGAAAATCTTTATGTGGTTTGGCTCTTGGGATGTATTTTTATGAATAGGAACACAAAGCTATCTTTCATGCTTCAGTTCTTCTTTTCAGTCCACCCATTTGACTGCTTCATTCTTTCCCCTTTTTTCTAGATGTGGATGTTCCCTCCCCAGATGAAAAGTCTGTGATAACTTATGTGTCTTCAATTTACGATGCCTTTCCCAAAGTTCCAGAGGGAGGAGAAGGCATCAGTGCCACCGTAAGCTTTGCTGCTGCTTTTTCATTCTGATGAGACCATCCTGGCACATGAATGGCTTTTGGAATGGGCCATTCCAAAATGTTTTGGAAATTGCTCTCAGGAAATGGATAATGTGCATATGTTGACTTGGATGAATGGGTGGGCAATTAGCTGGGGGGGGGACAGGAACCTTGACTAATCAAAATTTGGGCAATGTGCTTCTACAGTATTGGGAGGAATGCTTCAGAAATCCATACCATACCGTTATATGTCCAACCAAAATGTCCCAAAGTTGAGTGCAAGCTTTTGGGTTCTCTAGAACTATTTATAATGCTTGATGGTAAACAAAGAGGGAAAGAGGTGGAGAAAAATGCATATATTTGGTGGTGAAGCCCTCTTAGTCTGCATCTTGTAAGAGTTAAATTGGAGTGAGGGGTGAAGTAGCAGACAGTCAGCTGAGGCTGTACCTGCTGTTTAGGTATCAGGTACCGAGGCCCCTTGCGTAGCAAAAAAAGATAGACTGTGGCTGTTCTGCTACCTGTGTAAGTTGAAACACCATTACCTAGGTCTGTCCTTTATCCTTATGGGAAACACACAGGTTCCTTCAGAGGCAGACAACACAGAAGCTAGGTGGGCTTGTATTGACAAAAGTTGAGGTTGGTGGTTTGCTCCATTACAAGAAGAAGAAGTCAATAGAAACCCAATCAGGTAGCCACACCTAGCAGTTGAAGAGGATGTTCCCCCTGAGAATAAAGTTCCATCTTCAGGTGGCATAAAATCCTCTCCCTTCAGATCAGGATCCTATTCCTGAATGGATGTGTAGCTCTGAAAAAGCATCACAAAAAGGGGAAGTGGTTGTCCTTTTACTGCAAAAGGCCGGACAAAGACTTGCAAAGCTTTAAACTACAGGAGTGGCCATTCCTGGAGACCTGGGACTTGATGGCCCTGTTGCTGGGCTCTGAGACCTTGATCCATACCAAATTGGATGGACACCATCTCTGGCAGCAAGCTGGGTGTTACCCTGATACAGTATTCTGAGACACTCAGTGGAAAGCATGCATCTTCATGTCTCGTCCTTTCTCCAATTTGGCTTAATAGTTTGTCTACTGTTCGTTTAGAGCAGTTACTTCCTAATCATTTATCTCACATAAAAGGCTGTTCTTTCCCTCTCTTTCTGTAGGAAGTGGACACAAGGTGGTTAGAATACCAGAACCATATAGATTCTCTTATCTCCTGGATCAAGCAGCACACGATAATGATGTCTGACAAATCTTTTCCCCAGAACCCTGTAGAGCTCAAGGTAAACTTCAGATCCATTTTCTCTAGCTATGCCTTGTATGCTTCCTTATGTGAGCCCCCCACTCTGCTCTTCACTGATTGATTATTGTTATCTTTCCTCAAAATCTAAATCAGAATATTTATTGGTATGTGCATGGGGCAAATCATAGCTCAGGTTCGGTTCATACAATCCCTGAACTGACTTCCAATGATAAGCTTAGCGACTAAGGTACAAAGAGCCACTAATCCCCAAAAGATCAGAGAGATTCTCTCTTCCTCTCAGCCTGTGTCATCTGTAGCAATCTTATAATTTCTATTGTGTGTGGAGGTCACAGTTGTGGAGAAATGGTCTCACTGGTGAATGATCCAGAACTGACACTGCAAATCTCTTGCTCATGTAGACAGTAGTTACTAGTGTAGGACAGGTGCCCTTGGGACTCCCCATGTGCCATCTGTGTGTCTTCCCCAACTGCCTGGTTGGAATGTGCCCTTGGATTATGATAATGCCTTTTCCTTGTCTGGGTGGAGAACAGAGGGGTGTTTGTGTGCCTGGCTTTTGCATGGCTGGAATGCAGCATGCTGTGCAAAGGGTTAAGGTCTTTACCAAAGGTGTCATGGGCTTTGAAGACACTCAAACTCTGGACACAAGGGAGAAATGTGCTAGGAGGAAGGCACACTTGGCAAATCCACACCGTGATCAGCGCCCGCCTGGAGACCAATGTCCCCACTGTGGAAGGACGTGTGGATCCAGAATTGGCCTCCACAGTCACTTATGGACTCATTGTTAAAACTGTGTTTATGGAAGACACTCTTACTTGGCTATGAGTGATCGCCAAAGAAGAAAAGAAGAAGATGATACACGTTGCTCCACCTGTTTTTGCTTCTAGACCAACCCCCTAGTGGCATGTGTCCACTATAAGGTTATCTCATAAAACGACTCTTGGGCTGAAAAAGGCTCCCTGTCCACATAGTGCAGAGTACAGTGATCTAAAAGCAAATACTAGGAGCATGCTAGGTGTTTGTGGATCAGAAGGCTGGAAAGAAGGGGGTGTAGCTCATGAATTAGAACATCTGCTTCGTATGCAGAAGGTCTCAGGTTCAATCCCCAGCAGTATCTCCAGGTAGGGCTGGGAAAGACTGCCTTTTTGTGACCCTGGAGAGTCACTGCCAGTCAGCATAGAGATTACTGAACTAGATGAACTCATTGTCTGACTTGCTGTAAGGAAGCTTTCTGTGTTTCTAGCTGCAGATGACTCAAGTGAGTGAGCCAAGTCAGGGCAAAACAGTTAACCAGTCTGTTGAGGAGACAGATAATGTCGATCACTTTGGAACCCAGATGTTGGCAAGATCCATCCACTAAAGCTCCCCAGGGATTGGGGTCCACCTTGCATCTCTGTTGAGACTAATGACAAAGACCCAGGCAGCACTGAGCAACTCTCCCAGTTTCCTGCCATTTCT